CAATAGCAATAAGACAATCGTCTCAAATTGAAATATTCAACGAGTAATCAATCCTATACCATTTTCAAATGTCATGCCTACCCCTCTCAGGGATAACGAGTATAAAAGCAGATATCCATGGGAAAAAGATTTCACTGTCTTATTGGAGGGACTTTTAAGTGATGTTGCTGGATACTGGACTGCAGTGACAGCCACAGCCTACTTTAATAAACTTTTAATCGATGACGTCACGTTTGATTACATTCAGAAACACTATTTTTTTTCTACTACTCGGCAATGCGAAGAACTACTCGGCAATGCGAAGACCGCATGGGGCGATGAGTGTACGCAAAAAGATTGTGAATCTTAATTAGGAAATGCGACCGTACACAGCTTATTCACCGAATTTATGGCTAGCAGCCTCTAACCATCATCTCTTTTGGTCCTTTCTGAATCTTTAAGAAACAAAAGGTTTTGAAACTCAACTCTACACGGAAATGTGGTACACCTCTTTGTTCATCGTAGTTGCCGTAGTTCTACAAGAGTGGAATCGAGAAGGTGTGAGAAAGGTGGGCACTTGTCCTAGTATTAACGGTGATCACCTTGTATATTGGAGGTATCGCTCAATAAAGAAAAATTTGGTCAGAATTATGGTCAAGTGTCGCAGGACTTTCTTTCCGACCTAATATTTTTCAGCACCTGTTTTTATATTGTCCAGGGTCCCGCACTGACGGAATGATGACCCCTGAATTGTTGAAAGAAAGCTCACTAAGCGAATGTTTATCGTTAACTTTGTTAGATGCAAAGCCATGAGACAGGGCACATCATTGGTTGGGGATTTTGATCGAGTCCGTACGACCCCCTCCCTGAAATGCGGATCGATACGACCCCCCCCCCTTCTAAGGTTCGTTGTTTTTTTGCCTTTTATTTGCGTTTTCTTCCAACACCTACGTGGAAGAAAACAAGTGCCAAGCTAAAAAATCCCCTGGCTTCTGAGCACCTTCCAGCACTGAACATCACCCAGCCGAAATTTCTGTACGAGTTAATTTCCAAACATTCCGTGGGTACACAAAATAGGATCCCAGCAAAATTGCTCACCCTATTTACAGGAATTCAGTTTAGATGAACTCCGGTGTTCTAATACATGTTTTACTTCAGTTAAGATGGAAATCGCATAAAAGGCCGCCGACAACAGGTGAAATTACAAAATTATAATGATTATTCACTATTTTCTACCATTGCCATGTTAACTGAGCGAGTTAGGATCTTTAATTCTTTACGGAAAAGAGAATCGCTGTGTTGCTCTGGTAAAGAGAATCGCTGTGTTGTTCTACACCGCACAGGATGCGCTGCTGCAACTACAGACTGTTGTGTTCAAATTCCCGCATGCGGGGAAGAACTGGTAACCATGAAGCTATGAATGCGCAAGCGTTCGCGGCTGTTGCATTGGCTTGGTGCGTTTTTTTTAGACCCCTTAGGTAAACCAACTTGCCTTTGAAGGCTTATATCTTTCTTCAATGCAATTCTTTAGGAAAACACGAAAACGCAGTCGTGTAAAAAAGATTTGAGCTTCCCGAAAAGTACTGAAATGTTTATAAGGTTGCCAAGTTCAGAGAGAAATTCAGCGTTGGGGATGGGTTGGGGATTTTCAAAATTGGATGCAAAAAGACCAAGACTGTCCTGGTTTGAACGAATATAATCTTCTAAAAGCTCAATTGTTTGCAAATCTGGATATAGCATCGTATACTAGAGGGTTCCTTCTTCCCAATAACCACTTCGCTTGTTCCTGAAGTTTCCGAGATTCATGAGAAAAACGCGTTGGGGTTTTCTGAGGAACACTCCGAGCAGCGCGAAAGCGGCGTCGCCGCGAAACGCTGTAAGCGTTCCAAGTGGGCGTATTCGGATATCAAGAAATGCATCTGTAATGCACCTCTTCGTGGAACAGGAACAAACAGTGGTTAGTTTAGCGCCCATTGGCTTCATTTCTTGATGCGCCATACTTAGGCTCCCACGCAGAGGTAGTGGGGATGATGCTAAGTCACGAAATGCTGTCTTACATGTAGCAGATGTGATGTAGGAGTTGGGATGGAACTCCATGGGCCAATCCTAGCACTTGCTTAAAGTTCTTGTCAGGTTGCCGTTCTCCGTTGCGGATGATGGGGCGTGTCCGCTCTACCATCCGCAACGGAGAACGGCAACCGCACGCCGTCAGATCCGTGCTCCAGCGCGCGCCGCCCCGCCCCCGCGCCCGGCCGGCGGCGCGCCCGGGCCGCCGCCCCCGCGGGCCCGCGCGGCCCCGCCCGCCGGGCCGCGGCCGGCGGCCGCCGGCGCGCGGGCCGCGCGCCGGCGCGCGGGGCGGGCCGGCCGGCGGGCGCCGGCGGCCCGACCCCCTTCCTAAAGTCCGATAAAGGAGACCAACTGCTGGAAAACGTCTGATACGAACGATATGGTAGTCCTGTCGTTTGTCGAAAAAAAAAAACAGGTTGGCTCAGCGCCAAGCGCGATCGCTCGGACACGCCCCATCATCCGCAGCGAACCAGGGTATGAGTTGTACTGTTTAGTCATCTATGTACTTACGAAATGATGCCAACTTATTAATCCAGTTAATTTGGATTAGTTCAGTTGATGAAAGTTTTGTACTTTTTTTACACATCCGGGTTCTCTACAAAGCAAGTTTGCTATACAGGACCAGCATACTGACACATCTGCTAGTTACTGAGTGAAGGGCTAATTACGACCCCTCCTCTCTCCCAGCGGCTAAATACGACCTTCCCCCTGTTGGGAAATCCCCAACAACGATGTGCCCTGCCATGAGGCCATCTTTGGGACTAGTTTAGTTTCTGTCGGATGGGAGCTCCAACGGCCACGACTCGTGCTTTGTCACAAGGCCAAATGTTCTTGATGAAGGAAAGTTACAACCTTTCCAAATTTTCCTCAAGGTGATGTTTGACTCTGACTGGAGCGCAGCCCAGGCCGGTTTTTCTAGCAAATGATGCCATACTGAGCTGCAACAAATGGTGGAAAATGCTGTTCTGGCTGCGTCCCAAAAAACGCGCCTTTACACACAGTTCGCTTGAGGGGATGTATGTGATTTACTTCTCCGCTACTTCATCGACATGTTGAGCCATCAAAAGGGAACTGCGAAATCAGTGAAGCGAAAAAAAAGTCACTTTTCTTCATTGACTTTAGAGGCGCTATAAGTTACGCTTTAAAAACGAATTTCGGTGGGGGAAGTGTGATGTGCTTCAGCTGCTGTGGAAAGCTGGACATAATAATCACAACATGCCGAGTGAACTCCACCGATTACCAGGAAGTACTAAGGGACCAGCTGCTGCCATTTATAAGACACCTCGTAGACATATTTTCCAGCAGGACCGCTGCCATACACGTCAGCAAATCAACCAGACTGGTTTGAAGCCCATCATGTGGAACTACTCGGATGTCCAGCTTGCTCTCCTGGCCTATACCCGATGGAGAACCTGTGAGGCGTCCCTGTACGGCGAATCTGTCAGGGCAAGCACTACGATTCTGTGGATAGCATACAAAATGTAATTTCATGGAGTGGACTGATATATAGGAGAGGATCCTTCAAGACTCGGTTGAGAGTATGCCAGAACGACTCTTCAGCATGATATTGTGTGTGGACCCGTAGACCACTGATGGGATATATCGTGTTGTTTTATTGAAAATTCGTTGCGGTAAACATCATTCGCAATGAAAATTCTACCAGGGATAGGACTATGTCGTATAGTTTTGCAACGGCTATTTTTCCGGTCCCCGATTACTGTAACTAGTGAAATTGAACAAATACTCTGTAGGTTTATTCACAAGCACAATCGAATAGCACTTGCCTTTTTTCCAATGACTCGTGCTAGCCTCAAAAATGCAAAATTCGGGGTTTTCGCAACGGGGTGTATATCAAATTGCTTTTTCAGATAAAGACCCTCAATACTACAGGGTACGCAGTGATGGATGCTCAACAATTACAACTGGTGTACGGTGCTGATTCACCGTACGGTATTGCCACCACCTATAAGAAGCTTCGAAAAATTTCTGCGGCGGAGATTCCTTGTGCGATTGATGGAACAATCAAGAATTGGCAGACTAGGTATTTCCATTCAAGGAGCAGCGGGAAAAGGACGTAGTGCTGTCACCCTTGGTGCTGACTACGTTGATTTTAACTCCGGAGGTTGCCTCACAGCCGGTCATACTCTCACCAGTGCTTATGGTTCCTGTAGTACTTTCTCCTGCAATCTTCGGGGTTATCATTCTTGCTTATGGTTCCTGTAGTACTTTCTCCTGCAATCTTCGGGGTTATCATTCTATCTCCGTGGGCATTTGTTCCA